CACCTCTGTAGAGGGTGCTAATGTTCTGCTCTTCCAAGATTGTTGGGAGAACATGAAATAAACCGAATAAAAGGCTTTTGAAAAGTTCAAAGCACAATATAAATGTGCCATGTGCTAAATATATTCAACTCTGAACATTCCAGCAACACAGATGATTTTCTAAAATACAGAGGACCCGAACAGTGTTTTATTTGCGGCCACCTTGGGGTGTCTTTTATGGTGTCTATCTGGAAGCCTGTAAAGTGGCAGACGGAAGTCTTGGCTGCAGAGCCAAAGCCCTGAACAGGGGACACAAAGAGTGGATCTGACAAGTATTGTTGAGGATGGCCAAGCAGTCTCAAAATACAAATGTAAACAGCAGTCTGCATCCATGGAAACACATTTTGTACTTAATAAAAATATTCTTGATTTTTAAAGAACACATTAAAATGGTGGTTTTAATTTCTGAATGTCAGATCCTAAGAGAATAGATTTTGTTTAAATGTATAGAACTCTGATAGACAAAAAAAAAACACAAACACAAAATTCTTCCTTACCTCCCACATGTACACATTATTCTTAACCTGAGATCTTTTTTTCTTATCACCAACAAATGGTCCAAACTTTTTGCCTTTTAAAATTGGTTTAGTGGCCCAGACACCTAGAAAAGAAAACCAGTATTTTTATAACGTATGTGGTTACTTTAAAGACTGAAGCACTAGTGTGCTCTCTCTTTCTCTCTAGAGCACACCTGTGCCTTCCTCCATCCTCTTCTTTTCCTTAGGCCCGTATCTTTCGCTTTCTTTCTCTTAAGTTCCAAGGGCCCTTCTTTTGCTTCTGTAACTTGTTTCCTGAGTCCACGCAGCCCAGCTGGCTCACTTCTTCTGCCTCTGTGACTTTTTTTTCTAAAAGGCTAAATAAACGTCTTGTACTCAAGTTCTTGGCTCTGAATTCTGTCTTTGCCAAACTCAAGAACCAAGGTCTAACAGTGTCGCTATCATCTGGAGCTGTGACTCAGATTGTCTTACCACCCTTCTTGGTGTGGAAAGAAAAAAAAATAGATTGAAGCACTAAAATCAATTCAGTTTCACAAAACAGTTAAAAGGCTACAGCCTAAAAGCAAGATGTTAAATCAACTAAGATCAGGTGAAAGCAAATTAAGTTAAGTCTTCAACGGTGATTTTTATTTTTCTTCTTTATATTCTATATTTTCCAAATAGCCTCTAAAAAACCTATTTTGTTTTATAATAAAAAAGAATGTTTTATATATTTGCTTGTTTTTAATTTTTACATGTAAAATTAGCTGGACAGTACAATCACGAATACTTGGAGAATAGCACAATTAAAGAGAAAAATACTGGAATATAGTCAAACTACAAATAATTTTTAAACTCTTCTTTCTATTTTTCTACAGACTTCAATGATCTCCAATGAACATGAGTTGCTTTTATAAAGGGTTAGAAATATAGGTTTTTTAATAAATATTTTTAAAGTTTGTTTGTTCAAAATGAAAAATCCTCTCCTCACTGTTTCCTAAAATCCTAGCTACGGGGACAACTCACTTTGCGGAGTTTCAAACAGCTAAGAAGTATGCTGTTCTGTGGTGTTCTTAAGGTGTTTCTAAGTCCTCTGAACTGGCCACAAGGCAAACAGACAGAAGCAGCAGCGGCTAAAATGGCAGGAGGCCACCCGGAGTCAAGGGAACCGGTGCCCAGCAGTGGCTCTCACTGACAACAGGTTCCCTCATCTTCGGGCCTCAGATTCCTCACATGCAGGATGGTGGCATCTCAGCCAGTCCTGTTCAGCTAGGATGTACGAATCCCACTTTTCTGTAAGTCTGCTATGAATCCTGTTTGATAACAGCTAATAATAAATTAGTGGAGCTATAAAATGGAACACTTTCATGTGAATGATACAATTTAAATGCTCAAGTTACTGAATAGGTTCCAATGAGGATTAGAAAAAGCATTTATTAAAAATTTATTCACACTTATATATACATAAATTATAATATCAAAAGCACATCTTTAAAAAAAAAACCACAGGATATAAACATGATATATTCCAAGACTGTACTTTGACTCATTTTTTATCATTTACTTCCTTTGCCTTACAACCGAAGATTAAAACATAAAAATAAGATCAAACACACAAGATCTATGTCCACCCTGGATTCGTGACTGGAAACTGCATAAACACCACCTAATCTTCTAAGTCGGAGTATAAATCTGCTGCTTTTATGGGGAGCTCCCTACCTTAAATGCCCCAAAGGAAGTCTGCCTGCAGCCTGCAATCCCTTTCCCTGCTCCTTCTCGGACCCTAGCACTCACCAATCCGAGCCTTGTCAACAGCAGATGGGAAAAGCCTCACTTCCTCAGGAAGTCCTCGGAGCACATGTTCGGGTACCTGGGCCAGGGTCTCAGCGGTTGCCACAGGCTCAGTAGTGTTCTGCAAGTCAAGAAACAGAAGGATCATAGCAAGACGAAGAAATCCCAGTTAGCATTTTGTTTTTTTCTGGTCCAATAAGCAAATATGCAAACATGTAACTGAAAGCTAAATCTGGCAAGCCAAGCCCAAGCCCAAGCCCATGATGTCAAGCATTTCAGAGTTGCTTTGATGTCTGTTTGTGAGTCTCCAAAGGAAACCACTGACCTTCAAGCATGTCTGTGTTAATGTTTTGTTCCAGCCACCCACAGCCATTTTCAAAATATGTAATCTCTGGTACCATACTGCTTTAAACTCCCAGAGAATCTGGCAGCTTAAGCTTACACTTACTCTTAAGTCAAAGGCTACCATCAGCATTTTAGAACATTTAAAAACTCACAATCAACACTCCTTATTAAGTGAATGCCTTCAGCACATACTGTAAAGGCCACAATGGCCAGCTGGACCCCACCTGATCCATGCTTTAATCTCCGCCACCAATACCCCTGGCAGAGCCTTGACTATTCCAACCAAGAGCACTGTAACTTATTCTGGACCTTCATGGGAAGTACAACTTTCCAGGAAACAGTAATTCACCACCATCTACCAAGTCATTAAATAGCAAAGTCACCACAATATCACACAGTCTCTAAGAAAGACATTTTTATACTAACCAAAGTATATGTTCAAATTCACTGTAATCTTAAGAAATAAGATTACTATTAAATATGTATAAAAAGGGATGAAAAGGGGAAATTTAATACAACTGGTAAAACATGACTGTTATTTTACAAATAACTTTCAAGTCAAAGGGAAACCAAGCATCTGTTAACTGGTACCACATAGACCCTAAAGAACTCATGTGTGTATCATGACACCTAAGAATGCTGGGTTTTGTAGTCCGAGTGTTCTTTATTTTACTGCAAAGGGAAACATTCCTCAAGAACTTTCAAAGAAACCAACGTGGGCAAAAAGCAAACTCTAAGGTAAAAAGATTAATTTTCCCACAACAATCAAGCTCTTGTAGTTTTTGAGAAAGTTTTGTGCCAAGAAAAGAATATCATCCAAATTTGAGTACTCCCTGAATTTCAATTGTTTAAAAAACTACCAGTAGGCTGCTTCAAGAGAAAGAAATCCCCCAGCAATGAGCAAGTCATAATGAAGGTCTCTCGGGCCTGCTTTGAGCTGAATGTACAGAAGCAGACAGTGAAGACCTGGGTTGCTGCCTTGGATGGAGCAGTCAGCAGTGCATACGCCTCAGAAGCTTTGGCCCCAACATCATCACACACAAGTTAAGTGCCTTCCAAACTATGGGAATACCAAATGTGCTCCAGAAAATGACCCTGTGGTATTTTTAATTAGCTGGAGTGTAAAAATGTCTCACTTCTAAATATAGTGCCTGTTTTTAAAATTGTAATCTATAAACTAGAATTATGCAAATGTGAATAAATTTTTTTCAAAGTGGAGAAAGGTATAAAATTGGTAGTTGGTGCCCTAGGCTATAAAATAGTGTTTTTTTTAACACTGATAAGTTAAGCAATATTAACAAGTACAAGCCCGAGTTATGAGTCCTATCACTTCCAGTAAGAGAAAGTTTTTCCCCTTTTTCGGATGGACTCCTAAGCAAAGATTTTAAAGAATTTGACATCATTTAACCCCCCTCCCCCAGGAGCTTTGAAAAGACAGTCAGCTAAGCTAAACTGATACTTCCAGACACTATCACAGTATTATTAACAACAACATCCTATGTCCTCAGAAGCTCCCCGGGGACTGCTTGTAGGGCACTGTGCTAACCATTTTACATGCATGATCGAGTTTACTCCAAACAGAACAGGGGGCAGGGACTGTCAGTGCCTCCTCCAGACAATACACACAAACATACATGAAGAGGCCTAGGGAAAGGAAGTTGCTCAGGGCCATAATTTGAACCTTGTCTGTCTGACCCCAGAGCCCAGGCTCATAACCACTGACTGTGGGGTTTCCAGTTAAGATTCTGCTAGATTAGGTTTGCGTCTCTAATGTAAACATGATGACTATAGTTGATAACACTGTTACTGAATGACATTTGCAAAGAGAACAGAACTTAAATGTTCACAAACACACACCAAAGGATAAATATGATATGAGGGGTGATAGATATCTTAACTAATTGGAAGGTGGGAATGCTTTCAAAACATTTATCAATTCACTACAATGTATAATTTAAATACCTTACAGATTTTCAATTACATCTTAATGAAACTGAAAGAAAAAAAAGATTCTGCTGGAATATAACCTAAGAACATCTACCCTAAAACCTCCAAAGGTCCACGAAAAGGTCAGCAGAAGACGGTCCTAAGACAGAATGGTCATTCCCACAGGAAATGTGTAACATCGGTGTAAGCTGGAGACCAGGTACATTAACATTTGTGAGACACGGTGACTATAAAGGACCTCAGGAGAGCTGCCAGAGGAAAGAAATAAGGAAAACTCCTACCCTTTTATTTACCTGCTTTCAGCCAGTCTATTATCTATCATTTGGGCTCATTTACCTAGTTGGGAAAAGCTATTTCTCTGTTTATTTTAGAGCCTTTACACTAGAACAGAACTCAACTTCCATCTCTACGCAGCCATCCAGCCCTGGCAGCTCCAAGGCCTTCCTCTAGCCTCTCAGGCTGTCGGAATCTCCACTGCATGGAACATTTTTAGAAAATCAGTGATTCAAGAAGCAGAAGGTGGGTTGTCCTGTCCAAGGAGAACCATCCTCTAACCTTCCTTAATTTTCCTGCATAGGTCTAATCACAATTTTAAACAATTACTTGTATAATTTCAAGTTTAACGTACCTCCCAATCAGAGTGCAATGAAGACATACGGTGTATACGTTATTGAATGCTGCACCCCAATGCTTAGCAGGAGACATGTTTGTCACTTATATACTTGAATGACTAAATGATTCTTGTAAGCTAACTGAAATCTTTTTTAGAAAAAGGAGGGAAAGAAATAAAATAGCAGGGTCATCTATCAGGAAGTATTTTCTCCATGTGTGCCTGAATTTCTTGCATCTGAGGTAGGTATTTTTCTGGGTTGATACAAGAACCCTTTTTTGGAATATATGATATGTTCTCAATTTCAAGCAACCAATTTATAAATTAAACCTTTGGAGCCGAAACCGGTTTGGCTCAGTGGATAGAGCGTCGGCCTGCGGACTCAAGGGTCCCGGGTTCGATTCCGGTCAAGGGCATGTACCTGGGTTGCGGGCACATCCCCAGTGGGGGATGTGCAGGAGGCAGCTGATCGATGTTTCTCTCTCATCGATGTTTCTAACTATCTCTCTTCCTTCCTCTCTGTAAAAAATCAATAAAATATATTTTTTAAAAAAATTAAACCTTTGGAACAAAAAAGCTTTAAAAATCCCTCACACGCTCAATAAAACTGGAATCTCTTTTTTGTATATATCTTGATAGTATCAGATGTAATATATTGTAAACAGGGTCATCCAACTTGGTCCCAGATCGAAATTGTCTACAAGAAATTGCAATATCTAATCAATTAATTTAGTAAAATATTTCTGAGTCCCTCCTATGGTCAGGAATGTTTCAGGCATCACATTTGCCTTAACAATGTTTCCCTCTAGTAAGGAAGGCAAATAAAATCAGATATACGATGCCTGGTAGATATTGATGCTCTAAAGGAAAACCAAGCACAAGAAAGACAGTAATGGAGAGGGTAGGGCGCTACTTTAGACAGAGTGCTCAGGGAAGACCTCTCTACACCTAGGAAGAATCACGCAGCGATATGGGGTGAAATGCCAGGAAAGTGAACAGCAAGGACCACTGCTGAGTTAGGAAAAAGCTTCGTGTGCTCAGAGAAGAGACAGGCAAAAGACCAATGTGTGCAGAGCAGAGAAGGTGAGGAAGGCAGGAGTAATAACCTTAGGAGAAATGTATTACCACTTGCTGATCTACACAGAAGGTACCAACCATAGACCAGGCTGCAAGCTCTAGGAAGGAACCTGGCTGCTGCTCCTCCCAGGACCCCATCCTTGCTATCCCAGAATAAAGGCCCATTTGCATTTTAAGGCTTTTAACACTGATCTGTGATAAGTATGGAGGAAGTTACAAGGACTTCTAGACTTCTCTATTCTGCAATAGGAAACACAAGAGCTCTTTATTTCAATGAACTGATCTGGAATGGTATGTATTAAATGTAATTAACACATTAAATTTAAGTTAATTTAATGAACATACCTAATTCCATAAGTTACTTAGTTATTAACTATTAATTGATCCTGTTAATTTGATGTCTCCAACTTCTTACCTCAATCACAAATGTAGTTAATATTCACTCCCTTCCCCAATAAATGGCCAAGCGGACCTCCTGCACTCAGTCCACCACTCAATGATTAACAAACACTCCTGGGTGCCTGCCCGGCCCTGTGCCGAGTGGTGAAGAAACAATGGTTAGTTAGTAAAGCTGATCTGGCCCCCTCCCCACAAAGCTCACTGGCTATAGGAATTGCTCTTCTCCTGCTTCCCAGCACACAAAACCTCAGAGAGACTTTGACTCTCCACTTCTTCCAGCTGTGGAGGGAGCATCTGAAAGGGCCCTCTGCTGCTTCCTCCTAACACCTTTCCTCTAACCCAGGACGACTATCCTCTGCCATGTTGGGGGGTGCAGGAGAACTTAGGGAGCACGACATTTATTCCTTCCTCTGGGCCAAGATCTATGCTAAGCACTGTCTATGCATTCCCTCACAACAATACCAAAGCTAACACGGACCAAGTGTGCAGGCCACTCAGACACTACTCCAAGCACTTTCTATGCATTCCCTCGTTTGACCTTTACACTACCACTCTGGCTGTAATTTTATGATCCCCCTTTTTACAGATGAAACTTGAAACCTGCCCATAGCTGTAGTTAATGAGTGGCAGAGTTAGAGTACAAACCCAGATAGTTGGGCTTCAGGGTCTGAACTTTCAAATACGATGCAGTGGCGAAGCTCTGTCAAGTAACTTCCCTAAACTACAAGATTTTAAAGTAGTGG